AAAAGTTGTGTTGAATGAGAGCATGTCGTCGAAAATGGCACCTCGTGTTTCCTACCTTGTATATTATTATTGTAGATAGATTGAATTTGAACAAATTACTGCAAATTATCACGAAACTTCGTTGGAGCAATAAGGACAACAACAATTAACTGCAGAGTAAGTTTCATTGATCTTTATCTAGTATTTCCTAGAAATTTTAGGATGATATTTTTACCCCATACAAACACTGTAATTTTACTGGAACCGTACTGTGGTACTATCACAGAGCCTGGGTTACCTGTGGTTCAACTATTAAACTCTTGACATGAACATGTTGATACTGAGAAGAAGCTGAAAAAAATTCACGGCGCTCGAATTCTGTGACAGAACCGTCGAGAAATTACGCATGCGACACAGTAATTGTAGTCGACACGATAATATAAAATTCGCCCGGCTTTCCTGTATCGAGAACACCTCTCATTGTCAGGTATTTATGTAATTGCGATTTCAAAGAAGTCTCTGAAAAGGGAAGTCGTTTTCGTTAGACAACGTGACGCAAATAAATAATTAATTCAAGTGCACTCTACAATCGTTTACGGATCACGGATCGCCGCGTAAACCTCAGCAACTGTATAGCTAATGACATTTTAATGAACAAAGAAGGAGTCAACAAGATAGTTAACAGCAGCTTTTTCGGCGTTGTTTTGTCCCGGTTTAGTTCATTGTACGCAAAGTACAGTCATCCGGTGCGACGTCGATCTAATCACGACACTTACACATGACTTACAGGAACAAACAATCAAACTGATTAGAAGCTAATAATCTTGGACGAAAAATTTCAACCCTCACCCCCTCGCCCTAATTTAAGGATGGGAAAATACCGGCCCTCGTGTGGCTTCATCCTTGATTTCGGGGGACGGAAGGGGAGTTTGCTTTTCAATTTTATTCAGTGTGTGAGACTGTAACTCCTGTCGCCAGATGCTTGAGTTATAAGGACACACCAACGGAGCGAGTACTGGCAAAAGCTTAGAAATCCATTAGTACTCTATCACAAACAAAACAACCCTTTCGAACAGAAAATCTAGAAAAATATAAGTATTTAGCGGTCCAAATACATGAAAGCTGATGAAAGTGAAAACTCAGAAGAGTCGATAATTCTCGGTTAGTTTGAATGATGACTTGTCGTCGCGTGTGAAATAAACAACAGACCCCGTCACTGTTTCGTGTGACTGGATGATAACCAAACTATAGCAACAACACAAAACAAAGCAATGTGAAAAACAGCGGATCATGCAATGTGCGCAAAAAGAATGATCTATTGGGTGAACGGTTCATTGCTTCACTATTGTAAATGTATCAGGCATTTCAGTGTGCATTCACAAGTTAAGATGAGATCTAGAGTGACGGCGCATGCCAAATTCGTACGAGTTTTGACTGCAATTTAGACATGAGATTACAGTGCGTTTCCCAAAATTTTTGACAAACATTTTTGGAAGTTCTTTTGAAATTCCCGATGTTCACCACGAACTTAGCAATTTTTATAATTATGCAGTTATCAAGAAAATCGCGAACTTGAGAACGGAAGGGATCAATTTCACGTGAAAGTTCGAAGTTCGCAAGTTACGAGTTTCTCAAGTTCGCCGAAGTACGAGCAAGTTGCTTTTGAAATTGAATTGATATTTTATAATGGATGACAAAAGTTATCACCTTATCTTTGACATCCTCGTCCCCAGGGCCTTTTTCCCTGGCTTCGGACGGGCGGGAAAAGGCCCTACCATCGGCCGGTCACATGACCAATAAACACCCAAATAACTTCTTTTCAATTAAAGCAAATCATTGTGTTTTTGAACTAAGTGTTCCGTGTGTGTGTTTATTTCATTGCGCGATGGCGACCGAGTTTGATTATAGAATTCAGTACAACCGGTTCAGAGTTGTACTGCATGCTGTTGATAGTTTGAACGTTAAACATGAAGTGCGATCGAAAAAAATTAAGCAATTCTGTATCATGCAGACATTTCCAAACGATATTTCTCGGTTTGGCACTTGAAAATCGTGTTTTACTTTTTGCATGAATTAAAGCAAAGGTCAAGCAGTAGTGACGTCACTGGACGGCATTAACGGCCGGTCGATTCAGACGTCACTGAGGGAGTACAATAACGACTCGAAGTAATCGGATGAAATTCAGGCTAAGCTGAAGGTACTATGAAAAAAAGTTCAAACGCGGTCCTCGGTTGAAAGAAGAAAGTTGCAACGATGCTTGGCTTGTTATATAAAATCCAGCATAAATCTATTACGTCGTTTGCTGAAGGAATCGTGCTGGAATTGGAAACTGGCATGCAATGTTTGTCCGAGAAAAATTAAAAACACTTTGCTGACTCTCAAATTGGATCCAGCAGAGCTTACAAAAGAACGATGGTGGCGGGGAAGGAATTGCTGAACTTCGAAAATCTACAAGAAAGCTGCAATCAATTATTTAAGTAAGTTCCTGGCGGCTTTATAACGTCTATAACCAGCAAGAAGTCCTTAAACCAAAAACCGTTAAGGATTATAGATCGCTTCGTCTTCAATAATCTGGTCGTTGATAAAGCGTAGCCTGAGCGGTAGGCGTTTGAAGTCAAACAGCAGATAACAAGCACAAAGACCGCATGATTTTTCCTCTATTTCTTCTAGTGGGTAAAGCAAGCCGTTGGGAGATGAGACTTCTTAAAACCAGCTGTCAGTAAAACTCATCTAGCTGACAGCTCTTTGGCTTTGAACGGTACATTATTTTTATTTTATTTTATTATTTTGCCACACTGAATAAATTACAATTAGAATAAAAAAGATAATAATACGTTAATTAATATTAAAGTTAAAACGAGCATACAACTTGGAAGGGGTGACTGTGGCGCAGAAATCTCCGAGAAGCCGAGCTTATGAGGAATAGAGATTTTCCCCCAGGGGCAATTTAATACTAGGCGGCATTTAAAAGTAAAGAAAAAGACGTGTATTTTAAGTATATAAGTGAGTTTAGAGAAAAATATAGATATAAGGTGTTAAGGTATTTAGGTTGTATCTTGTTTGACCCTTAAAAATGGTTTGATCACACGCTAATATATTACTTTTAACTGCTTTCTTCTATTCTCCTTTGAAGATGACATTGATGCCTTCAGTTTCTAAGTCTAAGGTCTTCTAACGATGAATTCCGCACAGAAATCTCATTACGTTTCACTAACAACATATAATGATTACTGCAAGATCGATTACTCAGTAGCGTGATGTTGATTTCAATCAATCACATAAGTATAT